TCGAGGTTTGATTTGTCACCTTATTTTTTGTGTCTACATTGTCATTATTGTTTCTGTCGTCGTGGCCAGGGTTAGGATGAATGTCTCCACAAGATAGTATACGAAGCTCCAGTTGAAAACTAGCGTCGTGGTTACTGTAGAACTTAATTCTTTGCTTGTAGAATCGTCTCCGTGGTCGAGCATACCAGAACGCCGAGTTGTTGTTTGAGATTGATACCAAGATGAATTCAACTTGTGCTGGTTTATACTCTTGAAAGTATGGATTCGGTACCAGAATATCATTTTGTCTGAAGACTTGAGTTTCATGTGTTATCTTGCGTTGGCTTTCAGTAAAAAAAGTGAGGATTAACGACCCAATAAGATAAAAACTGCGGAGCCGTTTCAAGTCAGCACGTTTAACCTTCGTCATGCCTGAGATTGTCATAAGTGGGGACTCAGTCATCCAGAGTTTGAATTCCCGTTCGCCAATTGTCAATCAAAGGGACTGAAATGTATAAAAAAAACTCGAGGGAGAGTTTGGGTTAAATTAAAGATTTTAGAGGATTTAGGTCTTAGATTTGAAGAAATAAAAATCGCGCGCGCGTGCTGTGTGCAGTTAAAGCACGCGGGGTTTTGTAGAACACAAGAGAGTGTTAGGAGAAGCTGACGACGCGTAGCGGAGTGCTTCTCGACACTTCTCGAGTGTTCTGTCAATCCCCAAGTGGTTTTTAACTCCACACTCACGCTCCCATTCAATCAGAACGCGATATTTATTATTTTATAATTAAGATTCTTAGTGGATTAAAAACTTTAATTCAGTTCAAAATCTCCCACAAGATATTTTTTGCTTCTTTTTTTCTTCTCGTTATTGTTGTTTTTGTTTGCTTTTTTATTGCAGTTCTTTGATTGGCGGTCGTTGGAATTCTAGTCGCGAACGAGACATCAAACTTGCGGGTAGCATTTCAACAATAATGGCAGTAATATGCTTTTCATTAAACTGGGGCGTAATGTTTTCCCATTTGAGACCACTGTACAAATGACATCCACTTGAGAAGAAGACCATATGTTTGCATCACATCAATATAAATGTTCTATAACCAAACTGGGGAAAACCCAAGAACAGATGTAAAGCTTATGGATTGTAGTTGAACGTTAGACGGAATGCCAAGAGTCGGTCGTTTGTCGATCTCACAACCGAGGTCTGAAAAGGGTGATCTAAGACTAGACGTATTTTGTTTTTTTTTATGTTTTCTGGTTGAAATACGAAAAACCACGTTTCTAAAAAAGAGGTCATGCCTCATATTCCAATTTTAAGAAAACTACGTTGGTCGTCTGTAAACATATTCAAGTTTCAAAGCGTGTTACTTTCCCTCAAATTTCATATTTCAAATCCGCCAACCAACAACGTTTATTGAAATAGGTTTATACTATCATTACTGATGATATAATATATTATGTTTAAGACATGATATAATGTTTTATTTTTTTCCAGTGGGAAATGGAAAGTACTTACGGGAAATGAAACAGGAGCATTGTTAGGCTGGTGGGCTTTCTTCTGCCATAAAAAAGATCATCCACAACTTTACCCAGGTTAGTTCATTTCAAATACTCTCTTGATGCTAGTTATGTTTTCTTTTGAATAAAATTCTCCCTACCATTTGTTTTCATCAGGAGATAATGTTTACATGATCGCAAGCACTGTATCCTCAAAGTTTCTAGACTCCATGGCTAAAGTTGAAGGTTTCAAATTTGATGTAAGTTTAAAACAATTTAGAGTCAATTTTGCATCACTGTGAACCAACGTGACAGTGGGCACCAACATGTTATTGCGGGTGGCGTCGTCATCGAACCACTGACATCACTAATTTAGGGGACTGTGCACTAATCACAGGGAGCCCGGCTTTGGAATTTGTACTTGAATACTGAAATAAATCAATAAAGTGCTATTATTGGACAGTCCTTTACAATTGTCTTAGATATTGCAACATATCACCTAATTCCTTCTTATATAACTGATGCTTTATATTAGGAGACCTTGACAGGTTTTAAGTGGATGGGTAATCAGGCCCATAGTCGCATGCAACAGGGAAAGACAGTCCTCTTCGCCTATGAAGAAGCTATAGGTATGTCAACATTGATTTATTCTTTTGGTTCTATCAGCCTCCTTGCGCATTATGTCCTATTGATAATGATATGCACACGTTAATCCCATATTGTTCTTCTATCGTTGTTGCGTCATTTTCAAAAGACTTGCTTCATACTAAAACAAAGAGCATGGCCGGGCATCCTGAAGTTGCTACTGCAAATGGTCTGGGAAATTTGCATGGATATAAGCAGCTTTTCAGGAGTGAAATGTGGGTCGGCCAAACACTATTTATAGATGAACGGTCTATCAATCTTTGCCATCAGTGCTTTCGGAGTCCTCTTATACCTATCCACGGATTGCAGCATCTTACTCGATTGCAGAGAGTCTCTGCAGCCAAACTAACACATCCATGTTTTATTGTCGGTAGGCTTTATGTATGGAACTAATGTACTTGATAAAGATGGTGTTAGCGCAGGAGTGGTTCTGGCTGAGATGGCTACCTACCTTAACACTCAAGGTTTAACTCTCACCCAGCAACTAAGCAAGCTTTACGAAAGGTTATATTTTACGTGTTGTCAATACCACCATTTCGAGTTCGCCTTTGCTCATTCTTAGCCTCGATTGTGTACAAATTTGTTCTTTTCTTTTATTGAGGCCCATTGTATAGTAAGGAATGTACGTACTACGGAACAATACGAGTTGATTAAAATGGCAGGGTTTTGATGAATAGCTGAATCTTGACGCACAACTGAGACTAAGGCTGAACAAAAGATAACTCGAAACTATTATCATATGCCGTGTTATTTAGACTCAAAGCGCATCAATATCTTAGGAGAACACGTTAATGATTGTTTGACTTCAACAACTAAGTATCTCGCATGCCATTCCGTCGTATTGGGCACACACACACACACACACACAC